ATCCCCAAAGCTCATGAAACCCCGCCGGTAGGGTTTGCTGATGACAATCCACAAACAATCACTACAGAAACAGCCGCTAAATCTTAACTTACCTTTTCGGCACGAACAGATGGGTCGGTGAGTTCATTATCCTTCAGAAACATCGGCTGAGAGATAAGACAGCAGATACCAAATTTCATCCGTTCATCGTTGGTCTCATTGGCTAGCGCTAGAAGAAGTCGAGTTCCGTCGCGCGCCCCACCCACGCCCCATATGAGACTACATAACCAACCCATACTCCATAATATATTACACTTGTGGTGGGTTGTCCACATCCTATGAGTTCAATATTTTTCTCTAGCCTACATTCATCTAGGAGAACTCGTAGGTAGTACGCCCTCACGCCACAGACCTTTTATCACATATGGTACCACAAGGCCATCAGCTACCTTACACCAGCAGAGTTAGTAGTCTGGGCTCTATGATCACGGTCGCCTACAGAATGGTGTGTCTCCCCAAGAAGGATCTCTAGAGGAGAGCATAAAGCATCGTGTATGCCGGTGTGGACAAGAAAATTCAAGGAAGACGAGCTCTCATGATGAGAAAGCTCAAGCGCAGTAGGGTTAACTCCTTGAGACGATCTGCACTACCACTTGGCGCTCATGGGCCAAAATTTGTTGCCCAGGATCAATATGCTCTACCTGATTTCGGCGCGCGAAGGACTATGACGCTGTATGGGCATAATCCTATCGAACCCAGCAAGGTGAGAGTGCACGCCTGCAGTTCTTTAGCCACAATGTGTCGAAGACGTCTATGTTAGTGGGTCTTTTGTGAACTTCCTGGATGGAGTGGATCGCTTGCGCTCAGAGGGTAATTGGGTTGGCGGGGCCGGCCACTCCTGGCCCGGGGCCAAGCCGATTCCCAAAACCACATCCTACTGCCCCCACTTTGAAGAGCGCTTAATGGCTCTCACTGCTGGGTTCGTGATTTCCCTAACAAAGCTTTGGACAATCCGCGCTTATACTAAACCCTTAATCCAGGCTGAATAAGATCTCAAATTATTTTCTTTTCTCAATTGTTCCTGCAATTCTGTGTTGATCTCGCATATGGTAGCTTTTAAGGATTTCTGGTTGACCTACTGGTGTTCAGCAGCTCCTATTTAAAGTGATTGCCTTGATTGTGAACAGGTGTGGCAATAATCAGGCCTGAGTGTGCTAGAGAAATTGAAACTCATGTGTGGACAACCACAGTTATAGTATGTTTTAACAAGGAGGGAATCACTTTTTCACACAGGGCCAAGATGGTTTGGATTTTTTTTCAACCTTTAATAATAACACCTTCATTTACAAATTGCATTTTGTGTTTACTTGTGTTGTCCTTGACTATTGTTTAAATTGGTTTGATGTTCCGAAACACTTAAGTGTGACAAACATGCAAAAAATAAGAACTCAGGAAGGGGGCAAACACTTTTTCACACTACTGTATTACATGGTTTTATGCAATGTTAGACACTGATGCTAAGTTGGGCAAATCTTAAAAGTATGCTTTAAGTAATTTTGGAAAACAGAATAGAGGTCTGGGAGGTCTGTGACATGATGGTATGATTGCATAAGCAGCTAAAAACTCTCAACAACAGAGAAAAATTCTGATTCACCCATGGTACGATTCTGTTCTGAACAAGTTGGAATGGTGTGCTTTAAAGCTGCAGTAGGTAACTTTTATTTCCAGTTTGATGAAACGTTCCCTAGATGAATATGTAAAACACAAGACAGATAATCTGTGAAAAAAATCGGGTTCCTCTGGCTCCTCCTAGTGCTGCTAACAACATTCCGAGAATCCACCGGAACAAAAACAACCAATCAGAGCAAAGAAAGATAGTTGATTGTTGAGGTTAATTCCCAAATTGTCAAATACAGATGCTTGAGTTGGTGGCTTGAACCATTGGGACCCAAATCATCTTTATTGGACAACTTGTGGATGAGACTCAACAATCAACATCTTTCTTGCAAATTCTAGCCATTAGGAGCACTAGGAGGATTATCTGTCTCATGTACTACTGTCAGGATATAGGGAAAGTTTTAGCAAATATGACAAAGTTATTTTTATAGAAATACCTACTGTAGCTTTAAATAAGATAATCTGGACTCTCTCCACTGATCCCTGTGGGAAAGTAGATAGCTTAATTAGCATAATTGTTTTAATTGTATAACCTCACACTGAGAGAATCTCATGGAAATGCTGAGTTATCGTGCTCCTTCACTGAGCTACCTCAGGCAGTAAGCTCTGCACAACAGGGGGTTGTAGCAAGGCTGAGAAGTTCTGCGTCCGAACACCAGGGAACAAATTCCATGTTGTTTAATTGTCTTTATAAAGCTCTTGCAAGCAAGATTTTCTTATTTTTGCCCTGCTGTGGTGAGCAAGGCACTGTCAGCCAGCCAATCCAAAGTGAGATATATTAACAACTACAGTCCAGATTGCCATTATATATATATTATACTTTTGTAGCATGTGGCAGTTGTCATGTCTGTAAAAGGTGAAGAGAAAAATAGCTGAAAGAGATGTCGAAAAAAACAGATATTTTTTTAAACACAGATATATAACACAAATGTTTTTTTTGCCTTCAAGCTGCATATGAACATCACATTCCAAAGAACAGATAGGGTCACTGATGAGGAAACATGATTAACTTACAGGCTCCTTACTACTTATTGCTGCATCGAGAGGAAACTAATCACTGCTGGCTAAATCTAATGTTGAAAGATTTCTTTTGACCATCTGATCTCCACTGGCCACCCACAAAATTGCAACAAAAAAAGAGAAAATAGTACTACTGAGGCTGTTGCATCCGTCCCTTGTCTTTGCAGTATGTGTTCACACCTACAGACAGATGTTGGAGAAGAGTAATGTAGGTGTATTACTGGGAAAGGTTAACTCTTTAGAACCGTAAGGTTAGATTACTCTTTTCTTTCTACAGCGATAGTGCTTTTACCATAACTCATCAGCTTGGATGTAGTGGAACTGAGAAATGATTAAGCATGTGATTGCGGATAAAACATGGAGAGGTCAAAGAGCTGATGAGCTGTAAGAACACCGTCTGGTTATCTTCATGACCTTTTAACCTAAAACTTAAGTTGACTTAAGGATACTGAGTAGTTTAAAGCTGCAGTAGGTATTTTTATAAAAATAACTTTGTCACATTTGCTGAAACTTNNAGATAATCTGTGAAAAAATCTGCTTCCTCTGTCTCCTCCCAGTGCTCCTAATGGCATTTGCAGGAATCCATCGGGCCTGGATGAAAACAACCAATCAGAGCCAAGAAAGAAAGATAGAAAGACACTTTGGGTTGGTGGCTTGGCTCAACGGTCAACTATCTATCTTGGATGACAATGTAAATTAAAATGGGCAATACAGAACATACCAAGAAGCCAAGAAGTGTGACTTGTTACCAAGAATCTATTGTGACGGGCTGTCAAAAGAAGCTGGCTGGCTATGCAGTTGTTATTGTTATTGGCAGTTGATTTTATCTGGGTGACCATGGCCACTCCTTGGTGGCGCCACTCGTTACAACAGTTGTAGGCCGAGGTTTTCCAAAAAAGTGTAAAGTCTGTGAGATCTTTTGGCTTCCAAAGTTGGAGATTTGGCCAGAAAAACGATAGAAAACAATGCTCTTTGACATGTTGACTCCAGAACATTGTTCTGTTTATTGAGTCAAGTGCTTAGTTGAATAAAATTAATGACTCAATAGTCCTGATTTGCTAAAGAGTATGCATTTAGGGCTAGAGACATCATTATTAGGCAACCTAACCCCATTCCAATCCTGGAATGACAAAACAATGAAGATCACACTTCCAACTGTAAGAAAAACTTATTTTTGACTGGAGGGAGACTTTGAAGTGTAGTAGATTTTGTAGAAACACAGAACCAGTAGCACAACTTGTGGTTTTCCATCACCTTTACATGAAACAAGATATGGCTTTAATTTTGGAGGCAAGAGAAGCAAATGTCCAGTTACAACCATTCATATCAACTAAGCTTCTCAAATCCAAATTGTATCTGTAACAGCAGAAAGACAGTATAACATGTTTATGTTTGTGCTACTAAAAATGACATTTAATTGCTGGCCTTCCTTCCGCCCAGCTGACCTTTCCCAAAGGCACAACGACAATAGCAATAATTCAGAAAGCACATTAACACACTTAGATTACAGGTTACGTAATCAGAGTAAGTGATTTTTCCAACCAGGCACATGTCACCTTTTGCTGCTGTCAGCTAAAAACAGAGCTTTGATTACCGAGCATGTAGGACGACTACTGTTTTTCAGTGTGCACATACAGGAAGTCAGACCCCTGAAATCTAATTGGCCACCTCAAGTGCCACCACATTATTCTTACCTCTTCCACTCCACACTGTCTTTCATAGGCTGTATTGGGCTCCGTTTTAAACCTAGAAGATGGTGTTTTCATACGAAACTAGAACCTAAGGCATCCAATGGTACCAACCATGTCATGATAGTATGTCAAGAAGGGGGCTAAATAACACTCCAAAGTTGGGCAAAAAAAGTCATCAAAGGATCCCTTGACCTCTGACCTCAAGATATCTGAATGAAAATGGATTCCATAGGTACCCACAAGTCTCCCCTTTGCAGATATGCCTACTATATGCTAATCCCATACAGTTTTTTTTTTTGTATAAATGTATTATTTTAACCTAGTGTATTTGACTATTTCTGCATACTGGGGCCCATAAACACTGCTGGAATTGTATAAATTGGGAATGACTGGAAAGCTGAAACCCATACTTCATGCCACCCCTGCATAAGTCAGTGCCCCACTTGTGCTGCCCCAGGAAACAAAGTCTGGAAATGCCCCTGGTTACAGCCTCTCTCTCCACCTCAAAAAAACAAACACACAATTAAAGTTTAATCTGATTTAGAGCATTTTACCCCAAAATATTCTATAAATATTGAAACTGATGCAATCCCTAAATCAGAATGAATAATAACATTATATCATCATGACAGAGGCCCGACAGAAGAGGAAAAATGCTTTCTGCTTCCTTTCGACCGAATGCAACAGTATCATGCGCAAGTTCCATAACTGGACTCCATGATGAGACAAAATTAAAAAAGTGAAAAAGAATTCTCCCAAACCAGTCAATAGGTTTCAACTACATCTAACAACTTCATCAGCAGATAGGTTGATGGTTTTGTCGAGATTATTCTGCTAAACTACTATTTCCAAGGTCAAGAATGAGCTTTTGCACTCATTTCAGGCTGTAAGAGGCCTCTTTTTTGCAGACACTTAAATTAGCAATGCAATGATAAAGGATATATAAAACATTTGAGGTGGCTACACAACAGCAGCCAGAAGATCTCAAACAGAATCTTGTATTGTGACTGATTATAAGCATATTAGAGAAGCTAGAGGAACTTTAGTCATCAACTGAGCAAACTCACTCTCTGCTGATGAGGGCTGATGGAAAGTTCCTGAACAAGGCTGTTCTGATCAGAATGAACTGTCGAGCTCAATAGTTTAATCTTGTATTGTCTCTTATTTATCTTGTAGTTTTTCCAAACGCAGATCAGATTATTTTATAAACGTTCTTAAATGAAGATGGAGCTGCCAGCCTCCATGCTTGACTTGTTCCAAAGCACCCATGCTTGTTTGAAAATGTCTTTAATAGGTGTAACCAGGCTGCAAAAGAAACAGGAGCAATTCTCTAGCAGATTTTTTCTCTTTCTTAAACAAAAGTGTGACATTTCAGATTTTACGCACGATTTATTTGCTTAAAATTACTATTTTTCAGCTTCACGCGTATTTACGCACAGCACATTAGAACCTCTGCTGCATTTCTATCATAATTAACTGACCTGAGGTGACTGTATGGTTGCAGTATTTGACCTTTCGGACGCGTCTGCCCGGACACACCGACCATCCAAACCAGCAGGTTGAGCAGCACCACATCCGTGTGCATGGTGTCCAGCGGTGCCAGCCCTCTCCAAAAGTCTCAGAACTGCAGCCTGCTCCCACAACTTTTCCCGCACAGGACGCGCATTCCGGACATGCCGTAAACATAGTGGGAATCTATACATGGATGCCACGGTATTTAATCTCACAGAGGAGGGGGGGCAATTTCGCCTAAACCTACAAATCCTCCGCGTCAGATGGCTCGGATTTGCTCTCCGTGCGCTCGGTGGAGTCTGTGCAGGAGCGCAGAGCACGAGTTTCCCGCCTGTTGAGAGCGGAGTCATTCACCCCTAAGTGCACAGGTAACAACTGACAGCTGAGCAGGTCGCACGAACTCAGGATCCAGATCTGCATGCCCATGTGCAAAATGGTGAATAATCAGAAGTGGATGAGGGACCAAAACTAACAGTAACACAACATTTGGCATTGTTTTATTGTTTTATTAGTTTTTTGCACAGGTGGACCCTTTCGAACCTGGACAATGTGCTGATGATGTATAGTTGGTCAAATGTTACAATAGTACTGATGTTGACTTGCATTTGCAGTGATGACATTGGCCTACAGTATAATCTCAAACAGACTAGCACATTACCAATTACCAATATGTATAGGGAGTTATGCAACAATCTCTTAATCCAGAGAGTGTCCATGCACACTATGGCTGTGAGTACAGGCGTGTCACTGGGGTTACCTGCACTCCATCACCATGATATTTGTTCCATAGTCTTTCCTTTATTGTTAACAATGATTTAGGGCTCATGGTACTGGATCTGGAGTTGTGACACCTGCTTTGGACCTCAGTATTTTTTTTCCCCCCAAGCCGTTTTGAGCCGTTAAATGACCCTCATACCTTACATTGACATAAGCCCTCATATGTGACTTACTCCTCTTAACTCTTTCCCAACAAATCAATGTTTTCCAGCAATGGACTGATACAGACTAATTTGATTGAGGGTGCTTTTTGTCATTGCTACTTAAACAGTTTAAGTCTGTAGTAAATTGTCTTTAGCATCTGCTTTTTATTTGATCATTTAAAGTATAAAACAATGTTAATAAAAGTCACACTGTAAAACCTGGTGAGTCATTTTAACTCAAACTGTTTAAGGAAACCAATTGCCTTAAACAGTGAGGCTTACATTTTCGTAAAGTAAATGTAATGTAAAGTCAACTTATTACAATTTACTGTCTGCATCAGAATTATGAGAAGAGAGCCAGAGGTTTTATGTAAGATGTTGACCTTTTTTCCCTTGGCAGATTTGGGCCTCCATATAGTATTTAATCATTTAGATTATAGTCCAGTTGCTGTTTCGGACTTTTAGATCCCACATTTCTAATAATGCAACTTAATAGCATCTCTCCATTGGCTTTCCCATGCCCGGTAAACACCAACCTGTATAATTAAAAATGGATGTCCCCCATAGGTTTCTGAAGAGCCGTTGTGAAGCTCAGTGTGGTCAGCTCTGGCCGTCGCCATCTTGGCAGTGCTGACACTGCTGGCAAAGAGGTGGAGCGTGGGTGGAGCTGAGGCGGGGTGAATGAAACCTGGTTACAAAAAACCACCACAGCCACCTGTGACGGCAACCACCTGTCACTCAAAGCTGCCACGCCCTTAATTATGCATATTTTTTTGTGACTTCCATGTTGGCTTCATTTACTAGTAGTCTCAAAGCAGAAATAACCATGATGACATCACTAGGTTCACTAGAACCAAGCTAAGTCTTGATAATTGGTGGAGCTCCTCTGTGTTTAGTATCTGTGTTCCATATTCATTCTTTCATGCCTCACATTCATTATGTATTGTAGTTTGAACCCCATCAGTATGTCCTCAGTTTTACTTAGTAAGCCCGTGGATTTTGTGGAGTGCAGCAGTGTGGACGGTATTAATGTACACGGGCAGTAGAAGTTGATGAGCTCTGTTGTGTTATCAGAATGCCGTCTATAGGATTATCCAAAAGGGAACCCAAACTTTAATTTTCCTTTACTGCCCAAGATTATGTTTGATCCTTTGTGATTATACTTGATACTGTTATGATAGATTATTAAATAACAACATGGCAACAGGAAATGCATGACAGCAGGCCTGTCATCTGTGTCTGCAGACAGCCTGTCGAGTCAGAGCTCAGAGGGTAGCTTCTGTCTGTCGCTGTGGCAACGCAGCATCCGTTTAGCTGTATGGATCAAAACCACTGACAGTATACTGTTTATAGTGGACAGAGCTTCTGGTTCTGTGGAGTGAAGCCAACACAGAAATGTCTTAAACCTGCATACTATGTAAAGGCCAGCAGGGGGCGGCTCCAAGTCTGATAGTATAATGTCTAATGGGGATACTGGCCGAAATCTCCCTTGATTTATGAGCTCAGTAAATAGTTTTCAGCCTTCTTCCATAAGGGATGATTTTCATTTAGTCAATGATGGTCCCATTTAGAGTAAAATAGACAATGCTTTAGGTCAGTCTTTTTCTATCATCAAGTAAACTGACGACTAATGAGGCGAAGCCTGCGAGCTAGTTCAGGCAGTCAACTCGAGCTGTACTGATATACACACGACATGCCTCACTTCATAATCACTAACCAAGTGCAC